GGTAAAAATAGAACAGATAAACATCAGGGAAAAAAGTAAAAAATAATTTTTAAATGTACTAAAATAGAATTTATTTCCCTTCTGGATTAAAGACTGAATTCAATGGAATTGAATAAATAAAAATTAAAAACCCTATTTAAAATATATAAGGCAATTAAAAAAAAAAAAAAAAATCACAGGACCCAGATGGAAGGCTGTGCTTTAGGTTAAGTGAAAACTTGTGCTGCTGGTTAGTGTTACAGACTAAGGTTCGGGTTAGGAACCGTAAACACGGGACCCTGAAGCCACTGATCTCATGGCAAACATTCCGCAAACTGGCAATATTCCACATATATTTTTTTTTATCTGATGCACGTCAGTGATATTACAATGATCATCTGCACTTTGCCAAACTGAAACTGGACAACACAATCACACTATCAACCATCACAGTCTGGACGTGCGCAACCTGGCATTTCACTGCACACTGTATTCAGTATAATTATGTATGTGACAAATAAAACTTAAACGATCCGATAAGATGGTTTTATTTAAATATTTATGAATTCCCTAAGCCCTGAACTATGCTGAATGAAAGTATGGAATGGGTCTATTGCATCTTAAAATGAATAAGAGAGCAACTTTATTGTTAAACTTGTTTATTACACGGCTCTCTGGAATGCTTGATTCTGATTGGTCAGTTGAGACATTTGCAGGTTCATTATTTTCAAATAATAACCGCTCCAAAGTAATAACGCATAGTCACGTGGTACTATATCGTTTCGCGGAAAGATAAAAATGTTATTTTGAAACAAATATGCCAATAAAATGTTTCAAATTCATATTCATATCCATGTCATTTTCCTTATGTGGCAAGTAGCCGTGTAATAAGCGGGATAATGTACAGGCAGCCGGTAGTTATCGCGAAATAAGCCCCTTCAGTGTGATACAAGACCCTCCGCTTCGCGTCGGGTCCTGATCACACTGTCGGGGCTTATTTCTGCGATAACTACCGGCTGCCTGTACATTATCCCTTACCTAACACATCCCAAGTTCATGGTAAACAGACGGGACAGTCTAAACTACACGAAATGCCAAATTTCAGGCTACACAAAGCACAAGGCAATGCCTTAAGTAAAATAAAAGTAACTACTGCCTATGAAAGGCTGCTGAAATACAGAGTCATGCTTCCACAGGTCTGCATACCAACACTGGGTCCCGTTCATAAACTTGTCTGGTCTGCCTTTCTCCATTCCGGGAATAACAGAGACAGGACGAACTCGTCCACACCCAGCTGACACAGGCGTAAATATCAATCAAGTTTTAACTTTGAAAATACACGCAGAATACACAGTTGGTCTAATTTAAATCGTGGAAAATTGCAACGTATATCACAGACCATTTGCAAAAACGGACATATACTACTACATGCGCATCAAGACGTCCACTCTTAACACTGGTGACATTTTGTTTTGGTTCATCAAAGATTATCACACATCAAAACTGCATGGCAAAGGTCACTAGAGATAACGAAAACAACCAGAAACTAACTTTAGTAATGCAGGTTACTGTAGGTTCAGACACGCGCACACTGTCCAGTTCTTGTATTACGAAGAAAGTTTTGTACTAGCTGCAATATATCGTAGCTTTTTAAATATTCGGTCTATATTCCATGTTTAACTGAGGAAGTCATCTGAATTTGCAAATATGTATAGGGCCACTTACCGTTGGCTCAAAATATAATTATCTTTGAATTATTTTAACAATTTTTTATCGTAATGCCACTGCGCAATTTATTCCAAAATAACACCCTATACATTTTACCCGAAACCCAGTATAGTGATGCAAGACCTGTACGACGACCGTAAACTTAGCCAATTAAATTATCGTTATTTCAGAATTTCAAAAGCTCCACCACATTAATCGAACATACTATTGTTGTGGTTCTTGTTTATATTTCATTTTTAATCACTCATTACTCGTCGGAAGGCAGGGAGTAAACAGCGATGGTTACCCGCGCAGCTGATCAGGTCCCCGAGCGCGTCCACGCACCTTTCACACCGTCGCCGCGCTGTACAGTATCTGTCTGCCGTGGTAGACGCAACGTCCCAGTGCCATTAGATGATTAAATCATTTTAATCGAGGTGAGTGGAACCATTTGCATGCAGTTGAAGTTTTACGAACAGGCTCCTTTCACTTTGTGGAGAGAGTTACGGAGAAGGTGCGCAGTTCCAACAAGAAGCATTTCGGGGAAAAGCGCGTCCACGACCGGCGAGTCTGTGCGCGTCCTCGTCAAAGTGGGAGAAGTCGAACAGGTGAGAGTATCTAATAGCCCAACTACATTTGCATACCCCAATCCCAAATTTTCGCAACAGCATACTTAAGGTAATGCCTGAGCTAGCCTACTCTTAAAGCATTGTGTTGCGAAGTTGTTAATTTTAAAGCTAAAAAAAATGTCAGAGGTACCGCACGATATAGACGTGAGTAATGAAATTAGACCTATCTTTAAAAAAAAAAAAAAAAAGCCAGCTATATATGCAACATAAGCTACTCACCGCTAATCTCACGTGATGAGAAACTTTAAGCAAAGTGTTTAATTAAACAAAGTTTTCACGGAGAATACATTCATAAATAAAATATTTGCTCCGGGGTGGGTAGGGAGGTAAGAATATTAGGTTATATTGTATTGTTTATTATGTAATCTATAATTATATTACTTCGTAAGTATTAGGCCTACATTAATTACAGCAGGCCTGGCCAGTCTTATCCAGAAAGGATCCCCATTTAGGGATCAGACAGAATTTAACTGGGCTGTATTATAGAATTACCGTTAAATTCAATCATCAAACTTGTGTGTGTGAAATTAATTCAGTATGTTTTAGATTATTTTACTGCTTTTCTCCCTTTAACCATTTTTTAAAATTTTGAGCAAAACTGAGGGCCTGCGAGGAAGGCATTCCATGACCTCTGCTAAGCCAGCCAGTATTTAACCCCGATTCTTGAAGGTTAAAGGTCTCACCCCGCCAATAGTTTGTCTAAACTCTAAAAGGATGTCTGATTGAAAGAGAAGCAAAGAGTCGATTCGGATTCCTCAAAACGTCCACTAGGCTAAGGAATTATAAAAATGCGAAAACAGACCTCCAAGCGACGATCCAAAAGGCATTGCCATCACGGGCTGTAATGCTGGTGCGCCTCAGTCCACGTAGCCTACCTGACGGATGTAAAAACAATGCGCTCCATACGATCGACGTTCAGCCTTCTCATATGCGGATTTGCAGGACCATGAAATAAGCACTGTCATCTTGAATTACTACATTTTTCCAAATCTGATAAAAACTTACTTAAAAGGCACTCGCAGCTAAGAAATTACAACAAGGTGCAAAATAAAGTCATTAATTAAAATCTTTTTAATTCAGACAAATTGTGTAGGAATTCTCTAATTTGTTTGGGTTATTCATATAATACAGAAAATTCCCTGAATATTTCATACACACGCATTATAGGCCTACTGTACCTACATATTTATACAAAAAAAATTGTTACAGCCTCCAGGAAATTGTAAAATCCAGATCGTTTACTTGTGAATACAAGAAACAAATTTCTACACCGGTCTCTATAGCATCGTATATATAGTTAGTTAATCAATAGAAACTTCAACGTTTATTGTATTATGAAGACAAAACATCACATCTGGGGAAAAATGCACAATAACTAAAAATTGTCCCATGAAACTTCAGTTTCTTTCGTGGCAACAAAGTCCAGCTTTTGCCACCAAATCTTTAAGCCTTGAAGCCGCGAAAGCATCTTGAGTTAAACATCGTTTATAAAGAGATACGCAAATATACAGTTGAGTTTATAAAAGCCGAACAGCGAAGCAGAGTGCCACTGGCAATCGAACACAAGCGAGTCATCAACATAACTTTGTTTCTTCATATTTCTTTTCACATTAGACAAATTAGAAATGTGAAATATATATAAAAAAATCAAACAAATAAGGAGTGTGCATATATTATTTCTTGCTAGTACACAACTTGGTCGGAACGGAGATGGATCAACGAGCCTTACAAGTTCATTTACTTGCGGTCATGTTGATCCCCAAGTGTAAAATTAACCCCTTGATGTACTGGTATTTTTGGAAGGATACACTGCTGGAAAAGATCCTGACTTTTAGATTCTCCCCTTGATAATTTCATTATTGCTGTCTTGGTTGCCAATATTTCATACATAGACGCGCGCGCACTCACAAACACACATACATACATACATATACATATGACAGCATTTCACTTAAATATAAGCAATGTATAAACTCAAATTAACTTAAAGCTTTGTGCAAAAATATACATAAATCGAGTACATTGTGCAGGTGAGCTTTTACATGTAAAATTCCCAAAATGTGTGAGCACTCAGGCGGTTCATAAGCACGTGTCTTTTTCCAGTCCCAGTCAGGCCAGCACTTACGGGAAAAATGATTAACAGTCATTCTGTGTCCATATCGCACGAGGCGGGACGCTGGAAGAACAGGACAAGCAGGAAAAATGACGGGAAATGCGAGATATCCCAGTTCAGGAAACTGCGCACCCCAGCTAGTAATGAAATCCCAGTTTCTATTCCTTATTCCTGTTTTAATTTGCTCTACTCCTTGCTTTATAAAGGAACATCACGGTCAAAATAAAGACCTAATTTTAAGACACTTAAAGCAATGGTCCATAAAGTGCTTCTTCGTTTGGATTGCCTTCTGTGATGTTTTTACAAAGACATAAGTATGAAAGCACGTCCATATCTTTGCATAAAACGTTTACATAAAACACCATATCTAACTACGCGTCCACGATGCCCAATGCAGTGTTTTGCCGAATGATTCTGTAGGTATGGAAAATCACGCGACCTTCGTCTGCATTACCATCACTTTCACAATGACCCCACGTTTGCGCAAAAAAAAATAAAAATAAAATAAAATCTGCTTTGTATTCTTTTACGGCATGTGCACGTTTTTACGTATAGCATATAAACGAGAAAAGTCAACTCACAATAAATGTTTTATTGGTGTCCTTGATATTTGCTTTAAATTCCATTTAGGTAGGATATATTTCTATGACATTTCACATGGAAATCTTTTAAAACAGACAGCATAGTCCGCAACTGTAGGTCAATCCTTCGCGTTGGGATTATAAGTAGATTCCTCAGTTTCTGCTGGAATTATACTTCAAAGACATTACAATTCTCCTTCACAAAAAGATACAGTGAAGTTTAATCGTACAGCACTGTCATTACTAATATCTTAGGACAAACGTTCACCACTAATTAAACCCGGAAACTAGCCTCCGGAAAAAGCATGGGTTATTCACAATAATCATTTATAAGTACAGCATATTTAACAAAATAGTAAATATTAACCAGTGAATAACCTAATTATTAGTAAGGACTTCGCCTGTAAACTCGGCGGTAATCCACAAAAATATACTTCTTTCCTTAAATCTGGTGACGGTACAGTACATACGTACTTACTCCAAGGTGATATATATATATTAAAGTTACTATATACAAAACAAAGACAAAAGTTTGGCTCGAAATCTAATTTACAAACAGAACAACGAGTGTTCATGGCTTTAGTTACCATTTCTAGGTCTTGCTTGCATGTCTGTCTTTTTGCATTAAGCGAAATAAAAATAATAATGAATAAACTAAAAACTTTTCACAAAGTTATTTTTCATGATAAATGTTTGGATTTTTTTAAATTCAATTTAATTGCATTAACAATTAAAATAAAAGGCTAAACTGACATTTATATTTATCTTTTAAATCTAAGTTCATTGTGTGCTGCTGGTTAGCCTGATGGGCTGGCATGAGAGATTCACGGGTGTGTAGCCCCATGACATGTTGTGTAGCCCCCGAACTCACAACCTGATTCTCGGACAGGTACCAAGACGTATCCGCAATTTCCAAGACAATCGGGATTTGGGGGGCGGGGAAACATGGAACTCGTAATCTGCGTAGCTGGTGCTGCAAGCAAGACCTGTCCACCGGAGGGCGACATTTTACTTCCTATTATTCTTGTGAAAATAGTATTCTGTACAAGTGCTGGACTAGACCAGTGACTACGAGCACTAATATATTCCGTAGACACACCCCTAAAGACTGGACTGGTGTAAACCTGGCAGCAAATTGGCCTGGAGTACCTGATGATTCTTGTTTGAATCTGTGTGTGTAGCCTGACTCATCTTTTTAATGTGAGAAAGATACTTGGACGTGTTTGGATGAACATTTCCCACCTGCAAAAATGATATAAAAAAATGAATAATAATGATAATGATGATGATGAAGAATACTGGGCTGACCTATGTTACCCAGGCATCGACACGCATGCGTTTGACAGACGGACCCTCCTGGTCCTCTGCTCCCGCCACCGGCCGACCCAGCCCCAGGGGGGGGTGGAAGTCAGCGCGGGGAGGGTCTTCACGGTCGCTCCCGTCATAGGAGCTGCAAGAGGAACTCAGGCTGTCGGCGGGTGAGCGGCCCATTTCCTGGCGTGAGGACAGGTGAGGCTGGGACAGGAAGGCGGGCAGGGTGGTGCGGTCGCGGGGGGGCGATGCTGGCTCCGCCTTGATGCTCACACTCTGACTGGAGCTGGAAGAGCCGCCCGGTCCTTGAGGCAGGTGGCTGCAAATGTAGGGGAGGACAGACAGACAGCCTCACCATCAGCTTCACCAGCAGCATCTCCAGAGACCATGGAGGATCAAGACCAGACTGAGCTTTAAAGTCCACTTCAGTGTCAGTTTCAGCATCAACATTATCATAAGCGTCAGGATCAGCTTCAGCATCAACATTATCATCAGTGTCAGGATCAGCTTCAGCATCAACGTTATCTTCAGAATCAGCTTCAGCATTATCATCTGCCTCCGGAGCAGCATCAAGCATTATCATCAGAGTTAGGATCAGCATCAGCTTCAGCATTATCGTCAGTGTCAGGAACACTTCAGCATCAACATTCTCATCACTGGCCGTGGTGTGTGGCTCAGGAAGCTAAGCCTCTATGCCTCTGATTGGACAGTTGCTGGTTGGAACTCGGCCTCGCCAGAAGTCACATGTCCATGGACCCCTGAGAAAGGCCTTTAAACTGCAGCTCCAGGGATGCTGCACACTGCACCTGCGCTGTGATCCCCAAGCTTGCTGTCAGGTGCATTTGTGTCTATGAGTCTCATGGAGAGCAAGATGGAGTAGCCAAAAAGAGAATTTCCCCATGAGGATTAATAAAGTATAACTACTCTATATCAACATCAGCTACGGCATCAAAATTATCAGCAGCATGGAATCATCTTCAGCTTCAGCATCTTTATCGGCATTCTGCCATCAGCATCCCCATCATGGCGCAGGCCGCATCTCAAGCAGGCATTCCATCCCCTAAGAACAGGACACACCCCCAGACATGGCGTGTGGAGATACTCACGTCAGAGCGCCTTGTGCCACTGCACCCAGCTGATTCTGCTGCCATGACGACATGGAGCCCAGGGACAGGCCCGCGGGTGAGCAGAAGCCTTGGATAGAGGAGAGATCGCTGCCGCTCAGGGAGTAATCTGCAAGGCGAGCAGAGCGACACTGTGTCACGTCGCGGCCCGGCAGGTGCTGGCATGGGTGCCGCAACACGCTCACTCACCAGGATTGTACGCCGTGGGCATGGCAGAGTACACCAGGCCCTGAGGTGGCAGGCTGGGTGTGGTCACAGACACCACCGGTGTGGCCAGGGACTGTGTGGACTGGGAGCTGCTTATCCTCTGAGGGTTCTGGGAAGAGGACAGTGACATCAGAGCTCAGAGCCAATCACAGCAAAGCCCAGGTGCGGCTCACACGTGCACGATTACAGCGATCCCAGTGGCTGAGTGGTCTTGAGTCTCATGGGGTCACACGGTTCTGCTGTTTCTATCTGGCGGCCATGACAGTGACACTGTAATGTAACTATGCTTTTTAATGGCTCTCTAAACCCAGCATGCAAATCACCTTCACAATAAAACAGCCAGCTGCCATCTAACACAATATGAAGAACCAAAGCAATATGCATCCCATCCAGGGTGTGTCCCAGCCTGGTACCCTATGCCCTGGTACCCTATGCTGCTAGGAATAGCAGGATAAGCATTGAGTAAATGAAGGATGATAAGAAGCAATATTTTTCCTGTAATTCTCATGTTTGCCACTAAGAGGTGCTGTGGCATTATAAGCTAAAGCCCTTTACAAACTTTATACCATGAGACAAGTTACCATGCATGGATCACAGAGGTGAGTATATTAGCAAAACAAATACAAGATGTGTTGCCATATGAATAAATAAATCCTGGAATTTCAAAGAAAACTATTTTGTTAAATTATATACCAGCATGATAAGATTCAAGGGGTTGGATTCAAGACAGGAGAATAATCTTAATCCTGTCACCATGACAAGAAAATTAGCAGGTGAAATGTGTTGAACAGTAAGCGTTCATGGACCAGTGGTCAGTATTTTTTTTCTGCCAAAAACCTAGACCCATCTGTACAGAATATAAAAAAACTTGAAAAGCAAAAACTTTCCCTAATGTACATTTAGAAAAGCATACAGTGAGAATCAGCTCAGGAGCATGTTGCACTGGAGTGGCTGATCTGAATAACTGGACAGCCCCTCTGTATCAGTATTCCCAGAATCCCTCAGGCAGGGGGTTTGGCTCAGAGATCACACTCTCGCCTTGGCCCTGGGCCATCCGTGTGGAATGAAGGGGACACTATTTAAACGAGCTCGTCAGTGGAACCAGCTGTACACCGCTTGCCCAGTCCTGAGACGTGGGCTTCAGTACATTCCCTAAACAGGTTACGCTCTGAGTGCGACCCGCCCCCCTCCTCCCTCCCCCGTGGGCTGCTGCTCTCTGGAGTGGATTAAATCACTCAGGTCCGTGCCTCACTTTGGATGACATCATTCCCCATGACATCATTCTCCATGATGTCATCCACTTCAGGAGAGATAGGGAGGACGAGATAAACACGTTAAGGTGCATGTTTGTGCGCTGTACAGCGGCTGAGCGCGTGGAATACGGTAACCACGACTTAACCTTTCGAATGCGGCCATTGTTCGGTCACAGCCAAGCTCTATCACCCGTAGAGCCGCAGCTGGGGCTGCGATTGTGCATCTTTGTGAATCCTCCTGTCATGCTTCAGCTCTGCGGGTGCTAAATGTGCCCACAGCTGCACTTCCTGTTTTGCACTTCCTGGGGCGCTCTGTATGGCCTCCCACAGCCCCAGCTCACAGACCATCCCACTCTGTTCTGCAAGAGGCGCTGCTGCGGTTCACGGTCGCATGCGTGCCGAGCCAGCTCTGCTGCGGGCTCTGAGACGACCCCCCCCCCCCGGTAGCGTGTGGCCAAAACCGTCCTCCCGGCCCCTCTCCTGTACAACACTGGCCCATCGGCTGACCCTAGCTGTCACACCACCTCACCTCCTTCACGGAGCCCGTAGAGCGCTCACACTACGTTTGGTCAGAGAGTGTGAGAGAGCGAGGAGTGCCGCCTCACACCGGCGAGGGAGGGGCCCAGCCTGGCGTGCAAGGCGGGCGTCAAGCTCCCACGTCAACTGAGACACAAAGGAGGCCTAAATGAAAGGGGCTGCCATAACGGGGTGGGATCGAGCCCCCTTCTCACACCAGGCCAGGCAGACGGCGTACAGCCTGGGGAGGACTGGGGGTTAAAGGGATTAGGGACAGACATAGCGGGGCGCTTTGCAGCACAGACAGAGACGCAGCGTCTGTGATCCCCCCGGGCTGCTTTAATACCTCCACCCGAGGAATAAAGGCAGCCAGACGTGACGAGGGTGACAAGATATTATCCGGCTCAGGGTGTGGGCTCCCGCTAAGCCGGGCCGGCTGTGTCACCGCAAGGCACGATTCATCTAATGCCGCCGTGACCTACTGACGAGCACGCCGCCCCTCAGCTGCCATCTTCCCTTTGCACAAGGCCCGAATAGCCTGCCAGGCCGGAGCCCTACTGAGCATGCTCAGAAGCCCACGTAACGAAGCCTGGCAAGCCGACAGCTACAGGGCAGAGGCACTTACGTCACCTTACTTTGATGAAAGTCCTCCAGCTGGTAGCAAGAGAATGGCAGAGAACTGGAGTCTTTGCAGGCTGCTCTGTGGGACAGGGGGGTTTTGGGGGGGGGGGGGTTTCACACGTTTGTCAAACGGGAGGGAAGGCTAGACCCCTACTGATGACCTCACACTAGCCTCAGGCCCACAGAGTGGTCAGACAGAGCGAGGCCCATGCTGTGATACGCTGGGGGGGCTCTCTCTTTCTCTCTGCCGCCTGCTGTCACTTACCTGGGGTGCCATGGCGCTCTTGTTGGGTGGGGGGATGACCACTCGCAGATCTGGCTTTCGGCTGCCCATCCCCAGGGCTCCCCCTGGTGGTGGGGGCGATTTGGCAGGCATGGTCTTCCCCAGGCCGTTTCCGCTGGAGCTTCCCTGGAGGCTGGGAGATCCTCGCGAACTGACAAAGCCATTTCCTGTGGGGACACGGGGAGACAGACCACGGACCAATCAGAGAAGGGCCAGGCAGCCAATCGGCAGAGCTTCCAGCGGGCCACTCTACTTCTGATACACCCTTTGGCCCATTTCAGAGACTACTATAGTAATTATAGTGCACATGACAACACAGGAAATGACCTCACTCCCCCTTGAAAAATGGCTAAACGAAAAACCTCCACGCCATCTGTTAGGGAAAGGAAGCAAGCCCTCTGTTTTTGGTGGACATGAACGTATGTATGGCTGCTGATCACAGTCGACAGTATCGCTGGAAACCGCACAACGAGAACCAATGAGAAGGCAGAGAAGAGACAGGTGAGGATCCCACCCTGCTTGGGTCCACGGTGAGTCACCGGCGGCTGCCAGGTGGGCTTGGCAAGAAGGAGAGCCGTAATTATACCGGGACCCCGGCGGGAGAGGCACGCGGGGCTCATGGAAATGCCACGGCAAGACGGTCGGTAAAAATAAGCAGCAATAAACAACGGGGCAGCACTCTTAAGAAGACAAGTCAGCGTCATTGCTGCGTATCGGGATCATACCAGCGGAGAAGGTGTAGCGGCAGGAACCCACATAAACATAAAACCGAGGCCCCGGGGAAATGCGGCATGTCAGTATCAGTATAATAATCTACACTGTTCTTTCACTTTTACAGCAATTAGCGACTTTTAGGCAACTATTGTAGAAAATGCTGCTGTGTAAAAATACTGGAATAAACGGCATTTAACCCACTGAAAATAGCAAATTCATGTTAACTGGGTAATTTTCTGTACTGGATCCTGCCACAGGCCAGTGAAAACCCCCCAAGAAACAGTGTGGGTGGGGGGGGGGGAGGGTTTGTGAAAGCTTTAAATTACGGGGGCTGAGTAACAGGCTGATAACAATCTCAGGGTGAGGTCATCGTGTGAAAAGCTGAAGGGAAGCAGGCAATCAGTCAGCACGACCGTCT